GGCCTCCAACCTACTAGAGATGGCTCCAACCCAATAGGGATGGCCCCAACCTAATAGGGATGGCCTCCAACCTACTAGAAATGGCATTCAACGAACTGATTCACTGTGCTGACACGGTCTGTGCCCTCCCGGTCGCCTTATCACCGCCCCCCGTCCCATGAATCCCCACCTGCAGCGGGCGCCGGATGCACGAAGACCGAGAAAGTGACATCAGTCCTGGGTGGTGCCCGGAGGAAGAATTCCGTTGGGTTAGCTTTTTGTTGCTAGTAAGGGACTTGTTACTAATAGCTTCTTGTTACTACTAGTAAGGCACTTGTTACTAGTAGCGATGCACTTGTTACTAATAGCTTTTTGTTACTAGTAAGGGACTTGTTACTAGAAAGCGAGGCACTTTGTTCCTAGTAGACTAAACGAGTTGGGAACAGGTGATGAATCTACAGCTGAGATCTTTTGAGCCTCTCTGAGGGCCGTACGGCCCGCCCCTCCCGCGTCGTCTGGCGGGAGCAGCCTCATCCATGAAGTCTTCTTCCTGCAAGAAAACTTGTGCAAACCACAGGAAAGGCACGTGGCCTCGAAAGGAATGAAAGGCTCTTCACAACCTCATCTTGCTGCTTGCTGCTTGAAATGGTGGCTTTTTCCTCCAGTCCTCTATGGGCTCCATTGCTAAAGAGCAACAGTCGCTCCGTTGCTCGAAAATAAAAAAACTAAGCCAATCACGCTGCCGTGGGTAGTCCAGAACGCATGCAGGACACAGGACACAGTCAACACACACAGTCAGGTGTCCACCGGACCTATCAAGAGAGTCATTTCAGAAAGTGCATTGGAAGTGTTCCAAGTTGCTGCTCAAACTTGGGAGAACATAATTGGTAAACCATATGTTGTTTCTTTGTCCTTCCTTCACTTCTATAGCAGTCTGCTTACAAAACCGTCTGGCTACGTCCTCGCACACATCGTCAAGAACACTGGTGGTCTTTTGGTCTTTTGCAGTCGCCTTTTGTTCTCTTGGAAAACACTCGTCTTCGGTCACTTGGGCAGTCCGCCGGACGAGGTGAGGAGGCAAGTCCCGGTCCTTTCGTTTTGATCTTTGACTTCCCATGTTGGCTGGTAACATCGGGTGTTCCCTTCTTTTTCTTGACACATGCGAGGTTCTGGCTCACGTCACGGGCTGCCTTGCGAACGGGCTGCCTTGCGAACTGCCAGTGAAATCCAAGCTTCAAATTGGAACCATCGCGGTCGAGCGCGCACAGCGCTGGGCGCTGATCTGCGTACGCACGTTTGGTCGAAAATAGGGCTGCAACACTGGCCAACCGTGGCTGGTGGGGCAGCTTCACAGTTCATGAGCGAATGTTGAGGCACTTGTTTAACAGGATTTATGCCAGCCTCCATGAACCACTATGGGACTGTTTACTCCACAATTGGAGAAAGCGCGTTCTCGATACTTCTCGCTACGCGACTTGCTAAAAAGTTTGGGTGTTCTCTTCGTTCACCCCAAAAAGCAGTGGAGTCCCCCATGTGTTCAAATCCTGCCAGCGCGTAATCCTGCCAGCTCGTAATCTCGAGCCTGGTTGGCGGACGGGGTGCGCGGGGTCAAAAACTCAGAGAGCCCATAGGAACTGAAAACAACCAAACACGTCTAAGACATTCTAAGACATTCCAAACACGTCTGCCGAATCCACTCAACATCCCACACATGTGGACATGTTGTTGTCCTTACCACCTGCCTGTTGGAGGGTGCTGGTAGTTGTTTTTTCTCGCACTGGCCGCTTGATTCGTCTTAGGTCTTTTTTGCGAGCTTTGTTTTGGGGTTCAGTCTGAGCATGGCCTGAATTCACCCCGTCTACAAAGTGATGAAGTTGTTATGAGCGCACTGGTGGCGCTGTGACACGCTGTGGCAGGACATCTTGCACACGGCGTCGATTCGCACCGCAGCATGGGTCGAAGGGGCCCAAGTGACCCCATCTTCGACGTCCGATGCGCACGCCCCCCCCAAAGGCACGGTTCTGAAGCCAGGGGGGCACAGGGAGCAGCACAGGTCGCGGCCTGTAGACTATAGGGCTTGGCAAGGGCTCACTAGTGAACCTGCTGGCGCCCAAAACGGCAAACAAGATCAAACAAGTACTTCTGATCCAACACATTAGCAAGGGTGGCTTTTCAGAATCGAAAGTCAACTGCAAGAAGGTCTCGCTGCCCGAGCGTATATAAGCTTCCTTGCTAGTGTGTGCTTTCTGTACCAAGAACATGACTGGCTGGCAAGCCTTGCGGGCAAACGACTATTGTCAGGTGGGCAACATGCAAGCCCTGGCGCCAGTACAAACATGTCTGCACTCATGGTTCTTGTGATCATGACTACAAAAAGAACCTGGAAATATATTTAGTCACACCACACCTGTATGCGTGAATAGTTGCCCGTGGCCGAAATTGTGACAGACTCTCTCCCAAAACAGAAAGCAACAGCATCTGCGATTGTCCTAGCATTCTTGCATTGTCCACATCGGGCTCGGATCTGCGTCCATCACGGCGGGTGTCTTGGTCTCGCAGGGCCCGGTTCACCCGGGCGAATGGGTTCAGACACTCCGTTGCGGATGACTCTCGAGTTCTGAACCGTCGGACGGCCTCTGAGAAGGCCGAAGGCGAAGAACGTACGGTTGTTACCAACCGCCCGGTGAGACCCGTGCTCGGCTTTTGGAAGGCACACAAGTCCTGGCCGCCGTAGGTCACCTCAGGAGAAAGAATCCCAAGACGCATCGCCCTGGGGCTGCCGGTGGAGCTTCGCTCCGAATCGGCTCCAAAGAGTGAGTGCGACTTCATCGGCGAAGTCCTGTATTCGACTGCGCTGTCCGGTTCGAGCTGGTCACTTCTGCCTTCTGAGGGGAGGCTGACGAAAAAAGGGGTGTGTGTTGGCCAGTCTGATCAGGACCGGAGGCTGGTCGTCTTTTGTTCTGATCTGGGGAGCCTGAAACAAAACAAGGGTCACAAACCTTTGCTCAGCGCGAGTCCATGCAGCACCTGTCGGTCAACCGACTTTTTGGGCCTGCTGTCAAAGGGAAATCCTATCGAACGGAATGGCTTGACCACACGGCAAACCCATTGGACTGGAGACGGCACCGCCATGCCGAGGAAACGGTTCCCCTATGCCCGGCGGGTACCGCTGTCCGTCCGTCCGAACGTGCAGTCGACATCTCGACTGAAGCGAAGAGACATCCACTGCAGGACATCACTCAAAGACAGAAGACCAGTTTTCCGGACATCTGCTTGAAGGAGCCGCCCTCCAACACCACCTGCGAACTGCGAACGTGGGACTCCATACGTACGCGAGGACGTGGGTCCGGAACCGGTTGTCCCCCCCGCTTCGGACGACTGGGCCCTGTATCCGGGGTCCCGGTGGAGCCTCGAGTGTCGAAGCGCTGGGCACGACGACCTCCCCACACCGCCTCATCGGACACCTTTGCCACAAGCTTCTGGTTCTGAGAACTTGAAGCCTGGCTCAGCATGGAAGGGAGGGCCACCAGGGCCCAGGCTTTTGCCACCATCCTTTGGGGTTAAGTGGCCCCCCATGGCAGTCCATTCTCCCAAGACTTGCGCATGCAAGTCTTAACACTGGATCTTACCTTGCTTCGGGACCAAAATGCGAAGCAGTCCTTCCGCATCGGCACACCATGAAGCTGTTCTTTGTTGTGGCACTCTAATAGGTTGGAGGCCATCGTTATTAGGTTGGAGGAGGTCGGAGGCCATCCCTATAAGGTTGGAGGCCATCCCGAGTAGGTTGAAGGCCATCCCTATTAGGTTGGAAGCCATCGCTATGGTTGGAGGCCATTGCTACTAGGTTGGAGGTCATCCCTATCAGGT